TGTTTAGTCAGTTGCATGTGTATAAAAGGTTATTTCCAAGCAGCAATGTTCCTTATAGGCTATTTTCTAGTGATACTTTTGCTCAAAAAACCAGAAGTGTTGACCAAAAAAACACAGGTATACATTTCAGTGAAAATGATATCTTAGAATTAAGTTCTGGGGGATAGAAAAGCTGGTTCTTATCATTACCACTATCCCTAGTGTACACACACAGGCACATGTGCTTGTTTTTTAAACCGTTGCTTAAAAGAGATCAGAAGCTCTGGATGCGTTTACAGTAGTAAAGTGTTGATAGGCACCTTTTAGAGGTAGTGCGAGACTCTATGGTTCTCAAACAAATACCTTATCCATTACACTTCAGTAAGGATAACACTTAACTCTAGTCACTTGGTATCTTTTCTGCATTGAGGAAACATATGAAAGAAGTACTTCCTTGGGCAAGAAAGTGTATGTTCAGGGACTAAGGTGGAAGATGGCTAGTATTAGCCCTTTTAAATGTTACAAATACAAATATTTAAATGTTATACATACAAAAAATAGTGCAGTGCTTCCCATTGAGTACTTTATGAAGCATTACTGCTGCAAGATGCAAGACCCCTCCTGTAAAGAGACTCTAGTTAAATAATTCTAGGAAATGGTAACCTCACAAATGCACTATAGAGGTACATAGCACCTATTTAGTTATATAGTACTGTCTATCAAATCTATATAGCAGAATAGTGGGCAGTGGATCTCCCAGACCCTGCCACCATACCCACCAGTGCAGATCTTTGAGACCCCATAGGCTCTCTCTACCCTTGGAGGCATATGGGGTCATGCTGTAAAGCCAGTTTTACTTCTGCCCTCTGCATGCACAGCACAAAAGGATCCCGAGGGAAACGTTGGGGAGTTCTTCATTCTGCTTTAGCTCAGTGACTCGTGAAGGTCATACCATGCTCTCAGGGTACATGGCCTAAACAGTCTTAGAGACAATCATCATCTAGACAGAGTTCTGTATTCCATCCAAGTTAGTTCCAGTGTGCAAAGCTGTTTAGAGGTATTCTCACTAACCTCATCCCAAATCACTCCTGCTAGTCACCTGACAAATACCCCAATGGAATAAAGAGAGTGTGTGTGTGAAGAATCTCCAGCCCTTACTCTGTCCAACAGATACAGAGCCTAAAAAGACATGGAGGGGAGTTTGATCCTGACTCCGCCTCTCCTTGTGTGACAGCTAGAGCTACACCAGTGTCTAACAGAGAATAAAAGCTCCAGGCCATCATCACAATTGAACATCAAGTAGCAGAATTGTTTTTAAAATAACAGCCAACGTCAACAGAGCCAGAGGAAACCCCCCATTCCAGACAGAGGTTCCATTCCCATTATAGAAGTAACCACAGAGGGTACCCTTCCTATACTCTCCTTTACCACACTCTTGGAAGACCTACAGAGAAAAGAAGCTTTCTCAGACTCTTCCATGGTACACATTGTGCTAAAATCCATTAACGTTAGTCAAAGAAGCCACAGGGACACTATACTAAGAAGTCCAATTGGAATTAAACTCTACATTACACAATAAACCAATATCTTAGGATGCATCATCAGGAGAAGCTGCTTACTTAGAAGACATTCACATAAAAGTAAAAGAGATATCCATCACAACAGACATGCAAATCTCAACACAGAAATTTAAGAAATTAAAAAAAAATGCAACAAGACCCCTCCCATAGTTTATATTTGTCAAGTAACTGACGGCAAAGACATTGATGTGGATAAAAATGCCAAAGAATTCAAAAGAATGATTTTAAAAATATTCAATGAAATCCAAGAAAATACATACATACAGTTGAAAAAGTAAGAAAGAATCCAGGATATGAATTCAATGAAGAAATAGAGATTTTAAAAAAAGAACCAGGTAGAAATCTTGGAAATACGAAGCTCAATAAGTCAGATTGAAAACAACAACAACAACAACAATCAGATGAAATCCTCCACAATGGCTAGATTAATCAGAAGTAAGAATATTGAATCTTAATAACTCTATCAGTATAGTACCTTCAGACAGCAATAAAGAAAAAAATAGAAAAGAATGAAGAGAACATAAAGATATCTGGGACACCATTAAAAGTCTGAATAATCAGCATATTAAAGGAAGAAGAGATACATGTTAAGGGCATAAAAAACATATTCACCAAAATAGTAGAAAAATTTACAAGTCTTGGGAAAGACGTGAACATTCAGAAATAGCAGGCATTTAGAACCAGACTAGACAGGACCAGAAAAGAACTCTTGGTAACACATTAGATTGTCAAAAGTACAGGACAAAGAAAAAGTATTAAATGCTTTAACAGAGAAGTGCCAACTCAGATTTAAAGGCAAATGCATTGGAATAATAGCAGATTTCTCAGCAAAAACTCTAAATATCAGTAGGGCATGAAACGACATTTTTCAAGTCCTGAAAGAAAATAGCTTCCAAACTAGGTTACTATACTCAGTGTGGTTCTCCTTCAGAATAAAACAGAAATAAAGATATTCCAAAACAAGGATCAACTAAAGGAATTTATGACTATTTGATCAATGTTACAGAAGATATTTAAGGGAATTCTACTCCCAGAAGAAAAAAAAAGATTAACAATCATGAGACAACAAGAATGAATAAATCTCATTAGAAGAGTAGAAAATGAAAATAAAAAATAGGAAAGAATCAAACATAAACAATATAGTAAATAATCAAATGTTAAGGTGAATAACAGGAAGGAATGAAGATGTAATATTCAAAACAACCAGAAGAAAATTCACAAAATGACAAGAACAATAACATATCTTTTAATAATAATGATGAATGCAGATTGTCTAAAATCTCCAATTAAAAGAGAGCAATTGCTGACTGAATTAAGAAACAAGACCCAACAATATGCAGCCTGTAAGTAACTTCCCTCACCTGCAAAATCACACACACACTGAAGTAAAAGGAAGAAAAATGATATTCCAAGTAAACACAACCTGAAAACAAGCAGGAATGGGTATAATCTCTGAAAAAATAGTATAAATCAATTAGAAATGACAAAGAAGGCCACTAACAAGGGAAAATTCATCAAGAAGTTGTAATAATTATAAATATATACACTGAATACCGAGGACCCAATTATATAAAACAATCACTACTAAAGATAAAAGAAAGTTAGGTCCTAACATAATAATAGTGGGTAACTTCAATACCCCACTCTCACCAATAGATAGGTCATCTCAAATAAAACAACAACAAAAACAGTATCAGAGTTGAATTTCACTTCAGATCAAATGAACTTTGAACAGACACCTACAAAAATATTCCATCCAACAGCTGCAGAATAAATATTCTTTTTGTCAGCATGTGAAACTTTTTCCAAAATAAATCATACATTGCAAAAAAATGTTAACAAAATTTTAAAAATGAAATAATTTCTTGCATCCTATCATATTAAAATGGAATGAAACTAGAAATCAATGGCAAAAATAATTACAGAAATTATAAACATGAAGATTGAACAATACAGTTTTGGATGAACAGTGGGTCACTGAAGAAATTAAAGGGCATATCTAAATTTCTAAAATAGTATGAAAATGGAAATAGAACATACCAGAACCTCTAGGATATAGTAAATGCACTACTAAGAGGGAAATTTATAGCAATGAGTGCACACATTAAAAGGAAGAAAAAATATACCAATTCTCAGAAAGATCTCAAATAAAGAACCTAATGACATATCTCAAGATCTTAGAAAAACAAGAACAAACAAAACCAAAATCAGTTGAAAGAGAGAAATAATAAAGTTCAGAATAGAAAAAAATAGAGGCTAAAAGAACAGTATAATGTACTAGTGAAACAAAGAGTTGGCACCTTGAAAAGATAAAACACAATAGACAAAACTTTAGTTAAACTAACCAAAAGAGAGAGAGTGAAGACACAAATAAAAAAATTAGAGGTGAAACAAAGACAACTGAAACTTGATGAATCACTAGGGAATATTTTCAAAAGCTATATGCCAATAAATCGGAAAATCTAGAAGAAACATGCAAATTTTTAGATACATATGACCTATTAATATTGAACCCAGAGGATATTCAAAACCTAAATACATGAATACTAAGCAATGAGAGTAATAAAATAATAAACAATGAGCAGTAATAAAAAAGTCTCCCAACAAAGAAAAGCCCATTTTGATGAAATAGAAGGGGAAAGAATCCTTCCCAACTCATTCTAGGAAGCCAGTCCCCAACATTCCCTCTTCTTCTTTTAGCTGTCTTGTTTTTGTGTTTTCTTCTTATGCATCAAAGGATGGGGCGAGGAGGAAACTGGTGAATAAATCTCATTAGAAGATTTATTCATTTAGAATTATTTTAGAATTTATTTATTCATTTAGAATTATTTTCAAGTATTTGTTAGAGAGATGGTCCATAGGTTGTCAGACATTCAAAAGTATCTACAATGTAATATCATTATCACCCTCCCAAGCGCTACCTTCCACCTCTGCTAGTAGTTTACTTTACTTGTAAAGTGCTTACTTTGTATTTATTAGATTATACCAATGACAAAACAAACACTGAATGATACTATGGTACAAATACTAAATGATATAACTACTGTAAATTTGTAAAAATATAAATATTTTCAAAATGATAAAAACACTAAATATATAATACAAATACTACAATATGGTAGAAATACTTAATGAAAGAAAATGATATAAATACTAAATGATACAGTGATAAAACATGTTGAGTATCTTTATCATCATTTCACTTAGTTTATCAGTTTATCATTTAGTGTTTATATCACTGTATCACTTGTAGTATATCTCTTAGTACCTAGTAAATTTTAAAGGAACAGGAATGTAGTATACAGTTAAGTATGGATGAGTTTAAGTATCCATTCTTAAATATATGCCAGAATTATCAGACATTTAAATGACCTGGGAAAAAAGAAGAAAAAAAAAGAGACAAATTTTACAGGTGTTTTTCGTACAAAAACCCACACTCACCATTTTCTTCATGGCAGTAATCAAATCCTGCCACACTACACCTTCGAAAAACCATCTTGTTCTCAGTGAGGGTTCCCGTCTTATCAGAAAACAGGTACTGAATCTGTCCAAGATCCTCAGTGATGTTCAGAGCCCGACACTGAACGGTAGAATCTATTTTCTCATTGTAGAAATCCACATCACTTTGAATAAAATATATTTGTCCGAGCTTCACAATTTCGATGGAAACATAGAGAGAAATGGGAATCAAGACCTAAGAAGACACAAACAATTTAAAAAATGTTAAAGTTGTTTAAAGAAAGTGAAGACAGCTGTGCATAGCTGGATTAGAAGCAAAGACCTTAAAATTCCTTAAGAAGTATGATGTAAATTACCTGTAGCAAAATGATCATGGTCCAAAACATATAGAATCCTGCCAACACTGGTGATATGATATGACCATCAGGCTCTGGGATATTAAAAAAGGGCATGTTTTCGTATCTGTTCAGCCAGATTCCATGACCTTTCAAAAGAACACAGAAATCAGAAGAATGAAACATAAATATTATACAAATATAGAACTCTATTCCTTAAGAAGGAGGAGTGAGAGTATTCCTTGTGGTTAATACCATTTGGAAAGTGTGATACTTGCTACCTGGAAAAAAGGTCAAATTCAAAGGGCTACACAAACTGCTGTCTGTTTTCTTCTCTCTAAATCTTTTCCCAGGAGTCTTCAATACTACCGCAAAAGGTAAGTGAATGTAGTTAACAATAATGTTTTTCATGACAAAGGATGAGAGAGATCAACATATGAGGAAAAAATTATTGACAAATAAAAACTACCTAACAGAAGACACAGTCATAAATGACACTTTGGGGGGAAATAAAAGTACTTGATATCTTGCTGAAAAGATGTTAGTACATAATTGAATTTTACCTACCCACTGCCCCAGTTAAACACATTATAACCAGAAGCAGGACACACCAGAGGACATCTGTATTTGCTCTTCTTTCTAATTTGCTGCGTTTATACCTTGGCCCACTGTTGTTCAGCATTGCTTTGGTTTCATGTCCTGTGAAGGAAACATGGTATGTCAGAAAATGCACAAATAAAACCAGGTAGCAAGTATCACACTTGAAAATCTCTCTGGAAGACAGTGTGATAAAACATAGTTACATAATACATTTTGGCAGTGTAGTCTGCATTTAAGATCCATTTAGAATAATGGATCAGACCACTGATGAGTTTATCAAGACAAAGTTGACTTTCTGTTTCCATACCGAGCATTGTGAAAAATACAAACTTATAGAAAAGCACAGAAGGGACAGTGATGAAAATTAGGAGCACAACCAACCTGCATAAACCACAATGCCCACAACAGCCTCTGTGTTTCTAATGGTGCATCCTCTAAGCAATAGATTTTCCTTGCTGAGACCCACGCGTTCTTTGTTGGAATGTTCTCTATAAGAAAGACATCATACAATTTTATTTTAAAATGGCAAACGTGAGGATATAAAAATAAAATCATGGTCCTCACAGAATAGTAAGTTAGGCAGTTCACAAGAAAGATTTCAAATCTCTGGCAGATTTGCATTTTTGATTTCAGTTCCCTATTGTGCCTATGAGAAAGCTGCAGTCGGTTTCTAACTCTCACTGTTTTCTCTCAGTCATCACCTATTACTATAAGAACTCAGGCATATTCCAATGAAGGTCCTTACTTTCCTAGTACAAACTGTATGTAGGATAACTTTGTACTTGATGAGTGAAACATCACTGATAGGATTAGAAAATCACCGTTTTCAATGTGGATAAAATCAAGATTCATCCTAGACAATGATAATTAGTGGTTGCTTAAACTGAGGCAAAAAACTGGGAACTTTGTAATGAAAATATAAGGCTGACAATACTCATCTGACAAAGGGAACACATCATGGTTCTCTGATTTATGGGAAAGGAAGTCATGGCTCCATGGATTTCTATCAGGGCACTTAACCTGGGGGCTTCCAAGGATCTATGAAGCCTCTGAAATTACATGCAATATTGTATATGTGTGTGTGTTTCTTTTTCTTTTCTTTTCTGCTATTTTCTAGGGAGAGGAGCCATTTTTTTTTCATAAGTGAGACAGAGAAAGATGTTAAATAAACATCACTACAAGAATGCAGTTGGCCATGTTCTAAAATTTAGTAAATTCTGCAGGCAAAATGACCTGGTTTTTGCAAGAAATAAATGACATGAAGGGAAAATGGAGGGGGGAGAGGGAACTCAACATGAGGAGGCAATCAGCTCAATCTAGCATGTCATTAATTCTATAAGCTGTATAACCCAATTTTTTGAGAGAGGAAATTCAGAAACTTACATACCAAGCACAATACGTAGAGCACATATGGGGGCGGGGGGGTGGGATTGAGCCCAGGGGTACTCTACTGCTGAGCCTCTTCCCTAGTCCTTTTTTATTTAATTTTAAGGCAAGGTTTTGCCAAGTTGCCCAGGCTGGCTTTGAACTTGTGATCCTCCTGCCTCAGCCTCCCAAACTGCTGGGATTATAGGTGTGCACCACCACGCCTGATTCAGACCTTGTCTAGATCCTGTTTGGGATAAAATAATTATTTAGGGCTGGGGATGTAGATCAGTGGTAGAGTGTTTCCTTAGCATGCACAAGGCCCTGGATTCAATCCCCAACAATGAAAAAAAAAAAAAAAACTAAACCAAAACAACTATTAAGAACTATTTTTGAGAATAATGGAGGAATTTGAACAAAGTCCTGGTGTTAGATGAGATTAAGGCCGGTTCTTTTTTTTTTTTTTCAAGTCCTTTTCTACTATAAGTGCTTAGTGAAGTATTTACAGTAAACTGATATGATGTAGGAATGGTGAAGGAAGTGAGAGGACAATTGAAACAAAGTTGGAAAAACTGTGAAGTAGGCAAGTTTGGGGTGATGGTACTGGGTGTACATTACAGTCTCCTTTCTATTTTAGCATATTTGAAAAATTCTGTAATAAAGAGTTCAGAAATTATCAAAGTGATTGCTTAACTAAATTACTATAGTGACAGAAATATATCAAAATTATTGGAACATTTAAACAAGCATATAAAACAGTACTATTTTTCACATATTTTGAAAATGTCCTCTCAATTTCAGCATTAAAGTTATATTGTTTTCTAAGCAGTAAATTCCAGTATATAAGTTGTTGCTTCTTTTTCTTACATATGTAAACATTGTCATATGTCTGTACTCCTTGCTCTCTGGAATTAGAAAGAAAAGTAAATAGCAACTCTTCCAAGAAATTTTCATTCTACAAAGAAAGAGGAAAACAGATTTTACTCTCATATTTGTAAACTCCATCAGGAATCGGTCTACATTTCTCCACAAGTACAAGCTTATGTACAAAGAGACAGAGTTAGAAGTACCCTTGAGTTTAGTCTACTTTAGCTCCCTGGTCTTACAGATGAAGAAATTAAGTCCCAATATTCACATCTACATGTGGCATGCAGGTCCAGGCAAGCCCAGGCCCCTCCTCATCAGTGTGGCAATTTTTCCCTCAGCAGTCCTTATAGGAGCAGATTTAATCCAAAAACCATCATTTCCAAAGTTCCTTAATAAGGGATTAGTCATTTCTCCTAGAATCCTTATTTTTCAGGTGTATGACGTGGCACGCTGAAAGTGTGAAACCTTAAGGGTTCAACATAAAGCACAAATGGTCACATAGAGTGCTTGTTATGGTTTGGATGTGAGGTGTCCCTTCAAAGCCACACATGAGACAATGCAAAAAGGTTTAGAGAAGAAATGATTGGGTTATGAGAGCCTTAACTCCACCAGTGTATTAATCACATGATGGGATTAACTGAGCGGTCATTGGGGGTCTGCATTTGGGGTATGTATTGTGTATCTGGTGAGTGGAGTCCCTCTCTGCTTCCTATTCATCATGTGAGCCCCTTCCCTCTACCACACTCTTCTGCCATGATGTTCCGTCTCACCTTAAGGTTCAGCCAAGGAATGGCATCAACTGAGACCTCTAAAACCATAAGCCCCCCAATAACCTTTTCCTCCTTTAAAATTGTTCTTGTCAGGTCTTTTAGTCACAGTAGTGAAAAAGCTAAAACAATGCTTATCCATTCAAGGAACCGGTGACATTATGGACTAAGTGCCAAATAAACATAGTTTTGGCTTCTATGATCTAAGAGGAGTTGTATGGTACATAAATATTTAAGAGTAATGAAAATGTGATAGCCATGATGGTGGTAATCTGATATTTAGCTCAGAGATTTCTGTGGGTACAAATAGGAAGAAAGATACCAGTTTTGCCTCATAGAAGGTTAAAGAAGGTGTCACACAGGCAATAAGCTTGAGCTTCTCAATTTTGGTTGATTCTGAAAACAGGCCACAGAGCAAGATTACAATAAATAGCTAGCTCAGTGAATCTCAGAAAAATCACTGCATTCAACTAGGCTTGATTCTCTTTATATGTTTCCCTAGAAATTGTTGGGTCAGTCACCAGGTTAGACATCAACAGAGCGGATCAAGTTCATTTCAATCACTGGGGAAGACAGATTCTAGGTGTTCTAAGAGGAAGTCCATTTCAACAGTCAGGTAATCAGAAAGCAAGGTGGCAAACATTGAAGCAAACTGACATCAGAGGAGCCTGTCACAAAGGCAAACACCAAAGTGTGGGTAAATGTAGTGCCCAGGAATATAGAGGCAAGTGACAATTTTCAGGTATATGACATGGCACGCTGAACTAGGGTCTTGGAACTAGGTAAGGGCTCTGGGGTAAGACGGGGTCCAGTGCAGCAGAGGAAGCTCAAGTGTTTCTGTTAAGGAAGCACCACATTCAAAGGAAGAAAAAAGGAGGTTGACAAAGGGAGGCCAGCCTCCAATCCTGGAAAGCTGGAGTGACTTGTTGAGTTCAGACTAGAGTAACAGCTGTCAGACTTGAGACACAGGATCAGAATCAGTGTGGCAACAGTGCCCTATAAATTAAAAAGAAAAAAAAAATCTAAATACATGCTCTGGATCAGACTCTGTGCAGAGTGCTAGGCTCCAGACCAGATTGCTAAACTGGGTATCCTTGCCATGGGCAAGTCTGAGCTTGGCTGAGCATACCCAAAGACTTAGCTCACCTCAGGTCAAGCCTGAGGAAATGATCCTAGATAAAGTCTCATCCTGAGAGATGGTTCATGAGTATGTTTCTGATTAAAGAAGTGAAGCTGTCCAAATTCAATTCACAAGACCATCTAAAATACAACCACAGAAGAATTCCAGTAACACTAACCACAATAACATCAGTGTGCGTTTTGTGTGTGTGTGTGTGTGTGCGTGTGTGTAGATGCTACTATCGTGTGCAGAGGCTACTGTTATATTCTATACTTCCTTGTATGGTAACTCTTTTTCTAAAATTTTTAAACAATTTCACTGGAGAATAATTCATAAGAGTCAATTACACATATTTAAAGAGTAAAAGCATCACCAGAGCCAAGATGGTAAACATGTCTATCATTTCCCAAAATTTTCTCATGCCTGTTTGTAATCTCTCCTTCCAACTTTCCCATCCAAAGAACCCACTACTGTGCTTTCTGACAATGTAGGTTCGTTTTTGTTTTCTAGAAATTTATGTCAAATCATGCATTTATGATTTTAGTTTACATTTAAGTCTGGGGATACATGTTTCATTAATTTTTGTAACTGGTGAAAGGTATAGATTGAGGTTCATTTTTAAAATATAGAGCTATACAGTTGTGCAAAAAGATAATTTTTCTCCATTAAGTTGTCTTTGCACTATTGTGAAAAACAAGTTGTTTGTAAACATGTGGGTCTATTTTTAAACTCCATTATCTTTTCCATTGATCTGTTATTTTATCTTTATGCCAAGTGACACTGGTTTGCTTACCATACCTTTATAATAAGTCTTGAAATCAGGCAGTGGTAGCTCTAACTTTTTCGCCTCTTTCAATATTGCTTTATTGATTATAAGTTCTTTGAATCTCTGCATAAGTTTTAAAATAACCTTGTTAATTTCTAAAAAAGTTTTTTGAGATTTTGATTGAGATTACACTAAATCTATTGATCAATTTTGGGGAAAAACTCATAACAATGTTGAGTCCTGACCCATGAACAATATATATCTCTCTATTCACTTAGGTATTAAATCTTCCTCAGCAGTGTTTAGTGTTTTCTAGTGTACAGCTCTTTCGTATTTTGTCAAATTTATCAGAACATTACTTCATCTATGAAGAAAAGACAGTTTTACTTCTTTCTTTCTTATTTGAGGCCTTTTTTCTTTTCTTTTCTTACCTGACCATACTAGTTAGAATCTCCAGTGTAATTTCAAATAAAACCGGTGAGAGAGTAGGGTGTAATGGAGCACACCTGTAATCCCAGCAGCCTGGGGGGCTGAGAATCTAAAGCCCAGCCTAAGCAACTCAGTGAGACTCTGTCTCTAAATCAAAATATTAAAAAGGGCTGAGCAGGTGGGGAGAACAAAGGAACTGGATTGTGCAGAGGGGAGTGAAGGAAGGGGAGAGGGAGTAGAGATAGGAAGGACGGTGGAATGCAATGGACATTATTTCCCTATATACATGTATGATTACACTACTGGTGTGACTCTACACCATGTTCAGCCAGAGGAAGAAGTTGTGCTCCATCTGTGTACAACGTGTCAAAATGCATTCCACTGTCATGTATAACTAATTAGAACAAATTTAAAAAAATAAAATAAAAAAAGAAAAAACACACTTAAAAATCCACTTTAATTCCATTCACCTTCTAAACTTCTCTGTTGTAGTGATGGTGAATTTCTAAAACTGATGTATTATATGAGGTCTTTTATTATTTAAAAATAATTAACTTTATTGGAGTATGATTTGTACACAATACAATCCACTCATTTTCTATATATAAAAAAAGTCGGGGAGGTGCTGGGGATGTGGCTCAATGGTTGAGCGCCCTTGGGTTCATCCTCAGTACAAAAACAAAACCAAAAAAAAAAAAAAAAAGCAGTGTGAGAGAAAATATGCATGTTTTGTTCTTCACCTTGAGGAACAAACATTAGTCTTTCACCATGAAGAATGATGCCAGTTAAAAAAGTTCCCTTGTACTTCCTGTTTGCAGAAACAGAAGTCAAATTTTGTCAAATGCTTTTTCTTTAGCTATAAAATTATTATCTGTTTTTTAAAGCTACTTAATATGGACTGCTAATGTAATGTGAATTACAATAATATGAAGAATTATTCTGATTGTTTAATGTTAAGTCAATCTTGCGTTTTTGGAACAAGTCCCACCAGGTCATGACGTATTATCCTCTTCATATATTATTTGATTGGATTTGCTATAATTGTGTGTAGAATGTTTGCATCTATGTTTGTGAGGGTTATTGGTTTGCCCTTCAGTGTCTTTACATGCTTTTGTTGTCAGGGTAATGAGATGAGTATAATTCTGGTCTCAAAACAGAGTATGAAATGTTTCTCTTCCTGTAATTTATGACTATGATGTAGTTCTCATTGTCTCCTTGAAAACTTAGGAAACCTGGATCAAAGAGAGTAAATAATTTAGCTCGGAGTCAGAAGAACTTAAGTGGCAGAAGCCAACCTTGAAATTTCTCTAAACCCTAATTCTAGCTGCCTTTGCCAAAGGGGTGTGACTGTCACAGGAAGCCCCCATGGCTTCCCATATTCTTTGTTAGTCATGTTCCGAATCATTTTACCAACAAGAAAAGTCCACTTATTATTCTAAATCTGAAGAAGGACACCATCCTAGCATTTCATTTAACTATCACTTCTGTCCAAATATTTCTTTCCAAACTTTAGCATATCATAGGAGCTCATGTGATATATTCTTACACCAATGCAAGCAATTCTAGGATGATTTTAACAACAAGGTTTTGTTGTTTCTGCTGTTTTAAATATATATGAATAGAAGTACATATTTATCAAATTATTAAGATAAGCCAATTTTATAGGTAATTAAATTTACAGCCTTTAATGATTCAACTAGGATGCAAACACACAACAGTTTTATTGAGCCAAGTACAATTCCATTCACACTCACAAAGGTAAGTCATGTGTCACTCACAGGAAGCCTCGGAATCTGTTGAGGTCATTGTTTGGACTTTCACATTCTATCCTACTGGAGAACTTCTCAGGATCGACTTCAGAGTCCTAAAAATATTTTTTAGAAATCACAAAACAAGAATTGAAGATGAAACCCATAACAGGTAAGTATTTTATCATTTTCACCAATTCCTAAAATAGGACTAAGGCTTTTTGTAACATGAAATTTTTGTGATAAATTTCTTGGATGCCTGGGTGCAGTGGTGCATGCCTGTAATCCCAGCGACTTGGGAGGCTGAGGCAGGAGGATCATGAGTTCAAAGTCAGCCTCAGCAAAAGTGAGGCACTAAGCAACTAGTGAGACCCTGTCTCTAAATAAAATACAAAATAGGGCTGGGGATGTGGCTCAGTAGTTGAGTGCTCCTGAGTTCAATTCCCAGTACAAAAAAAAAAAATCCCAAATAAAAGACAGTATAGACATAATTATGGGATCCATAATTAATGATTCCAGAGCACTAAAAAGCATCTGCAGATGATGAAATCATATATTAAAATTCATGCAGTATCCTACTAGAAATTATAAATACTCTAATCAACAAGGCACTGGAAATACTTTCGGTGTGGTCTTTAACTATATAGGTAGTTTCTGAGAGTAAATGTGAATGGGGACACTTTGAGCAAATATGCATTCAATTTTACCCAAGTTTTATAAATTAAAAATAAGCAGGACATCAACATCTCACAAAATTTTTAATGGATCAAACAGATAATTTTAAAATGCCTTATAATTGGATACACAAGCATAATGGATACACAAGCAAAATGCCTTTATAAAACACAGCAGTTATGAGGCATAATTCATTAAGGACAAGCCACATCAACCTTATCTTACTTCTTTTATTTTATATGGATGTTTGGCTAATAAGAGGAATACTATAGATATTGATGTAGCTCAAAATACTAATGTCTATATTATAGCAAACATAGAAACTGAATAATGATTATATGATTTAACATGCTAATAACATCTTTTGAGTTCTTTTGATATACTAGAATCTATATCAGGCACTTTAAATATTTGAACTAATTTCTTTTTTCTAACTGCAAGAGGAAGGCACTATAATTAAGCCTAATTATCAGATGAGGAAAGAAACACAATGAGTATGAAAGTACTCAAAAGAAATGTTTAGATCAAAATTACAATTGAGATCACTGGATTCCAGAGCAACTCATCCTTAATTGAACCCAAATTGTGCTGATTAATCAACTGATATTGACCTCAAAATAGCTATTTGGGAGTCTAATAAAATTCTGAGTTGTGCACAACTTTTGCCAATGCCTAAGTTGCAGGACTGCTTACAAAAATGACAGTAACACTAATCTCAGAGGCATATCAATAATAGATGATTTAAATGGAATTCATAGGTGGAAAGATGGGCCCAATGTGATAAGAAGAAAATTACCAAAGATAAGGGTATTAGGAAACTAAAACCATTTCAAATTTATACGTATAAGATGAAGGAATCTCAATAACAGTATTTCAGATTAAAAAAAAAAAAAACATAAAACTTTAAAATCCTTCATCTCAATTGCTTCCAGAAAAAGAGATGGGAAACTGATCTGGGTGCATGTTTTTACAATACTATGAAGTATTATTTCCATTTGAAGATAACAAACTGATGGATAAAGTCTTTAAGTGATTATTATTAATGGGAGAGCTGAGATTCACTCAAATTCATGTTAATATAACTTCTGTGTCAATTAGAAAATTTATATAAGTTCTATATAATGTCTATATAACTTCTTTTAAGTTCTTGCTACCCTCAACATAGTGCAGTGAATGGTCTAGAAGATATATGGTATTAGAAACTCCAAAAATTTTGAAAGGCTTCGTTATACAAGTAATTATAGATCTTAGGAACAATGATCAACAAAGCATATGATATTAATCTAAGATTTCTTTATCTAAGATTAAGAAAAACAAATTAGCAGGTGCATATTTCTATTGCAAAGTAATTTTCCAAGTTGCAAATTAAGTCTTTCAAGTTCCTTTAATTAAGTTCAAAAAAAAAAAAAAAACATGATTGCCATACTGAAGTGTTTGAACTCCAAAGTCATTTTATCTTATTATCTACAAAATATAGTAAATGTCCATTGATATCTGGAACTGGATTAAATCATCAGGGATTCTATTTTCTCTAGGTAGGAATGAATTTAAAAATGTCTTTGTTGTACTGTGGAAATGAGATCAGTTATTTTCTGGGGGAAAAAAGTTAAAATTGCCAGCTGAGAAACATTATTTACCTGCTCTGCATATCCCCGAACCACCTGCCTCTGTTTTAAATTGCTTTCTCCATCAAGACCAGAAGTCTCAATGTGACATATTCCATCAGGATCAGTGGAAAACAGCAATACCATATCAGCAGGAATGATCTCGTTACAAGAGAGACGAATAAAGTCCCCAACAGTGACATCTTTCCAGCAATGGTCAACATATGTTTTCTCTTTCCTAAAATTGAAAAAAAAAAGTTTAAGAATAATATTAAACCAAAAATATATATAATTGTTTCTTAAAATTTCACTTTATAGTTTAAATTATGTTCAAAGTATCAGGATGAATTTTAGCGTAATAAATGCTAATAGGGGAGTTACACAATCAGTAAAACCTAAATTCCCCAAATGATTCACCTGAAAATTTACTTAAGCCACTAAAACATAGTTTTCAGCGCTTTATTCATGTGAGATTTTGAAACTTTACACCCCACCCTTTGAGTGCAATTCTAATAAAATCACAGTTAACAGTAGATACATTTATTTACATGCAGAGCAATTCCTGCATGCCGCTCTGGTCAGGAACCTAACAGGGCACAAGGCATATTATCTGCTGTCAGAGAGCTGCCCATCTGGCAGATAGGGTGGATAATTAAATAAAACACAATATTTTTTTTAAAAAATAATCATGCCCCCATATTAACACCTCTAATGATCACTGAATAGATCCAAAATCAGCCTTCCATTTCAGTGGATTCGACCAACCACACATCAAAACTGCTAGAAATAAAAAGTTGTGCTGAACATATACAACTTTTTTCTTGTCATTATTCTATAATAAATGTAGCATGACAACAATTTATACAGCATTTAGATTGTATTAGGTATTATAAGTAATCTAGAGATGACTTAAAGTATGCAGGAGGATGTACCTAGGCTACATGCAAATATAATACCATTTTAAATAAGGGATTTGAGCATCCCCTCCCTCCCTTCACAGACACTGAGGGATGGCTGTACAGCTTAAAGTGATCCAGTCCTGATTTTACACAGCTGATTCTGAGAAAGGAGGATGGCAAATTTGATCCTTTGTCAAAGTATAGTTTTCTCATGCTGTACTTTTTTTTTTCAATGAAAGACACATCTTTTGAGGTTTACTTGCCTTAAGTACTCTATTTATGTTAAAGCTTTGTCCAAACTTCTTACACCTTTCTGTCCAATGACATTTTTTATGCTCCATAAAGAATTTTCCTTAGTATAAAACGAGGACATCATATGGTAGAATGTCAAATCAGCTAATGAAACAGCTAATGTAGAATGTCAAATCAGCTAATGAAACAGCTAATGTAGAATGTCAAATCAGCTAATGAAACTATTGTTACTGGCATTTCATATAAAATGCCAGTAGCAATAGTTTCAAAGGTCTGTCTCATTCCCTCACTGTCTCTTAGATATATATGAAGAACTGGTATTTGACATAAAATTATACTTATTTTAAAAGCAAAGTTATTTGTTTTCTATTACATTTATGAGGTTAAATATTCATATTCAATGTAAAAATCCTGGTAGATAGTTATATTTTAAGCTATATTACCTATATGTTACAAATTATTGATTTGTGAGGTTAAATGGAAATGCCATCTTAGAGAAATATTTTCATAGCTTCTGCTCTACAAATTATACTAGATACTTAAAGAAATATCACCTCAATGGGCAAAATAAACATGAAGAAGTATGTTTTCAGGACCTAGCCTCCCTAAATACCTAATCCACCAGGTTGATCCAAATAAAGGAAATCCTTGACTCTAGAATTTGCTAGTTTATGGAGAAAAGCAAATAAATGACTTAGTTCATCTTTATCAAACTTGACCTAAAAGTCTGTGCATACCAGTTCATTCTTCCATGGAAAAAAGTAATAGAATATGAAAAGATAGGCAGTGATCATATTTGAAAGTTTAGTCCTATATGCCATACCTGTGTGTAGGCATTCTGTTCCATAGAAAAAAAAAGAGTCACCAAAGGTTAACAGGAAGGGTATGATGCTACTTCTGTTTGCTCACTCCTGCAATGGAGTACTGCACATTTTATTGGTGGCAGCTGAATTAGCAGTAGAAATGGCCAAGAGACCAATGGAAAATTATGGAAATAATTCAAGAGAAGGATGAAGACAATCAGAATGAAAGCAGTAGCAACAGAAATGAACAAGAGACAAAATCAGAACATATTTAGGTACCAGAGACAGCCAAGTTTTCTTAGTACATGAAAAGGAGTTACCAAGAATGACACTATGGTTTCTAACTTGTATGATGGGTTGATATTGCCTTCCAACATGTTTCAGATTTTGGAAGAAACTGCATCACAGAGGGAATAAATTCATTCTGAGAAGTTTTTATTTGAAGAGAGATATGCAGTTAAAAAATGTCTACCAGTTTGAACATTCTGATTTAATGCCCATGAATATAGATTCAGAATTGGAAATATACAGAGAACAACTGGTACCAGGTAAGGTGTTTGGTTAACCACAAATCAGTGCCTAGGAAAGCTTGCAGTGAGATAAGGTCTCTAAAACAATGTGGTGAAAATGGGGAGCTGCCACTTCCCTTACCTCCAGTCCTTGGTAGATTATCTGAACAAAGTAACCTAGGTTGTAAAGAAAAGAAATGTACTCACAAACATCTAAGAAAGCCACCTTGCAGTGGACATGCAACCTATCTTATGTATTTCCCCAGCTTGTAGGCAGGGTACAGCCCTCCACTGCATCCTGGCCTGCCACTGCAGAGGAACAAGTGAATAATAAAATGTCCAAAACCGTTCCATTGAGTCCTCCAAGTTCTCTCTTTGGGATTAGTACACAGTATGCATGGGGTCTTTGCAGCCCTGGGGTTGAACACAAGGATACAAGGTTCTTTAGGGAAAGAGATTTCAAGATGATAGAAAAGTGGAAGAAGATCCAAGAGAAAGTGATCCTAGAGAAATCAAGGGAGAAGAAAAATTTAGGAAGGAATCATAGTTAAGGGCCACAGAGGTATCTTTTTTTAAATTTTAATTAGGTATATATGACAGCAAAATGCATTTTGATTCATTGTACACAACTGCAGCACAAATTTTTACTTCTCTGGCTGTACACGATGTAGCATCATACCCTATATGCAGTCATACGTATATCTAGGGTAATGATGTCCATATAATTCCACCATCTTTCCTGGCCCCATGCACCCTCCCTACCCTCCCTCCCCTTTGCCAAAGTTCCTCCATTTTTTCCATGTCCCCCCATCCCCGTTTTGGATTAGCATCAACTTATCAGAGAGAACAGTTGGTCTTTGGATTTTTGGCATTGGTTTACTTCACTTAGCATGATATTCTCCAACTCCATCCATTTACGTGCAAATGCCATGATTTTATTCTCTTCTAATGCTGAATAATATTCCATTGTGTATATATACCACAGTTTCTTTATCCATTCATCTGTTGAAGGGCATCTAGGTTGCTTCCACAGTTTAGCTATATATGAATTGAGCTGCTATGAACAGAGGTATCTTGTAGCATAAGAATCATGGGCTGGGGTTGTAGCTCAGTGGTAGAGCACTTGCCTAGCATGTATGAGTCACTGGGTTCGATTCTCAGCACCACATATAAATAAATAAAATAAAGATTCATTGAAAACTAAACAATATTAAAAAAAAAGAATCAAAGTGCCTACAGATCTGGTTACAAAGTCTGCTGATAACATATAATTATTGATAGGGAGCAGTAAAGGAGAAAGTGTGGCCTCCAGCAAATCAGGGAACAATCTGAAGTTGGAGAGCAGAACATTGCTAGAGTTTAGCTGTAGAAGAATAAAGAGTGAAAATAGGCTCTGTAAAGGAAGTGAGTCAAACACAAATTTGAATATAGGGAAGAAGCTGATAGAGAAGTCAAGATATAAAATTGAAGACAGAGGGGCTGGGGTTGTGGCTCAGTAGTAGAGCACTTACCTACCATGTGTAAGGCACTGGGTTTGATCCTCAGCACCACATAAAAATAAAATAAAAGGTATTGTGTTCACCTTCAACTAAAAAATAAAAACATTTTTTAAAATTTTAAAAAATTAAAGTACTAAAACAAATTTGAAGACAGAATGGAGGAAGTTGGTAGAGACTATAGAGAAACAATAAGGAATGACATTAACAATACAGATGGACAGGTTACTATTACAAGGAAGTGAGTTCCCTCTTAATCTAAGGTTGGAAAAAAAATAGATCAAGATTTGGATGTTATAATATGAAGGAATTTGAGCCAAGAATGGTGGCTCATACCTGTAATCCCAGCAACTCAGCAGGCTGAGGCAGAAGCATTGCAGTTCAAGGCCAGCCTCAGCAATTTGTCAAGGCCCTAAGTAATTTAGCAGACCCTGCCTCAAAATAAAAAGAACTGGGGACTTGGCTCAGTGGTAAAGTGACCTTGGATTCAAACCCAAGTACCAAAAAAAAAAAAAAAAAGGAATTTGAGATATATAGTTCATTTTCAATAGCTTCTACTTTCCCATATGTAAAAAAGCTAAGTGGAAATTGGTTGAGAATTTGTGAATGTAAGGAAGGAAGACAAGACTTGAACATTAAGGTACAAAATTTTATTTTTCTTTAAATATAAAAGTAAAATTGTTGTAAGCAATAATTTTATTTATTCTACACTAGAACAAAATTCAAATGAAGTCAATTTTACAAATGAATTCATGTCATTTTTCCCTGTTTGGTATTCATATTGGGATTTTTAAAAATAGCTGATTTTCCTAATAGCTAGATCAATAAACATATACTGACATTAGTATATCATATACTGACATTAGTTATATGAGGTGCTAAGGATATGAAAATGATGAAGATATGGTCCCACTGTAAAAAAATGTATAGTCAAAAAATTAAAAACACAAACAATAATTTCATACAAGAGAGGTAAACACAGCTACTATGGAAGCAGATGAGGGAGGCATTTACTCTTGGAGGAGTGGTCCTGCAACTTTTTGAAGGATGATCAGGTGAAGAGAGGAGGCACAGCACATCAGTCAGGGTGCCCATCCTTGGGCAGAGGAACGAAGACAGGAGGCATGAAAGAGTGTAGAGTATGGAGGCAACTATACACTAAGTAACCATGATTCCTGCAAGTTTGCCTAACTTTGAACATTCACAAATGTTGGCCCATGCGAAATAAGACTAAGTTTCTTTCCTGAATATAGAATTTAAACTAGGAAGAGGATTGTCT